CCCCTGGGAAGCTCAGAGGCAATTGGAGGCCGGCTCACCCTTGGACCCTGACTAGCGCATCCGCGCGTGCGCACTGAGAGTTCAGGCTGCAATTCCCAGAAGTCTCCGGGGTGCGGCACAGCTCTGAAGGGCCAGGCCCGGATGTGAGGTTGAGCGGTCCCGACCGCGCTGGCTACAATCTGTCCGGTGCAGAGACGAACAGATCCAGGAGGGATGCTCCTCCTGGCCAGTTGCGTCTTCAACGAACGAAGAGCCCCAGAATCCTTGACGCGTCGTCTTGCTCCCACCCGACTACATTTCCCAGGAGTCCCCGCGGCCCGTTTCCGCCGTGCGGTGACGCGCTGCGCGCCCTCGGTCGCGCGCTGAGGTGGCGCGCGAATCTGAAACCTTGGAGATGAGGTGCGGGGCGAGTTGTGGTGGTGCGTTTGCATGTGAGGCCCAGGTTGCGTTGTTCGCGCAAGGATGGGCCGTTGTGAACGTGCGAGGTCGTCTGTGTGTCTGTGTACGTGTGGGGAGCACTGGTCTAGGGTATATAAGCGTCCTCAGTAGCCGCTTTGTACAGAAACGGTGCGGCCCCCAGGAACCCCGAGACTGACTCTCCCGTCAAGTTCCCTTACAATGAGGTTCCGTGTCGGTATTCACAGGGTAAAAGTAATTATTATTTTACTTACACCACTGTTATCAACAGCCGGGGATCCACCAATAATGCAGGGCCCCCGCAGCAAGAGATGCTGGAGTTCAGGCCGTCGTCCTGAACACCCCATCAAGTGTCGGGGTCCCTCCGCGCGCCCCTGCCCAGATGGGATCCCCTGCATCCCGCTCTCTATCAAGTGAGCAGATCGCTGGCACAGACCGAGTATGGGTCGTGTGCCAGTCTGGCTTCTGGGGACAGGCCCGCGGGCCCCGCCGACGACCGTGTATCCCAGAGGCCCAGCTCTCGTAGGGGCAGGAGAGACAGACAACCGGCTTCCTCACACCTCGATGAACAGGACGTCCGTGGAAAATTGTGCTTCTAAGGAAACTGCAATAAACCTAGTCAGAAACGGCATTCTCATCTCCACTGAAGAGAACTTTCTTGAAGGGTGCAAAGAAGTTATGGGCCCATGGGATCGAAGCTCTTCCCTTGGCACCCACGCCTGGGGCTTGAGTGAGAAAGGAGAAGCCCCATTCCCCAACCAGCACCCACCGCACTGACTGCGTGCCCTGCAGGCTCTGAGTCGGGGCTTGGCTGTACCCCCAAGCCCGTCCTTAAATATTTAAGGAAACTAAGGCTCAAAAAGGTTTGATTAACTTCCCCACTGCCACCCGCTAAGGAGCGGGGCGTCAGGGAAACGCTCTGGTGTCCCTGCAGGCCGCGAGGCAGCGTGGCCCCGGCACACCACAGAACACAAGCGAATAACAAAGCCTGGAAGGCATTTCGCGCGGTGTAACACCGATCCAGCGAGAACCCCTGGGGCCCAAAGACGCACGGGTGGGTACAAAATGGACGTGGGTCTGCCTGGACCACCCCTGGCAGCCTGTAGAGGGTACAGTCTGACCCGAGATGCAAGTTTCTCTACGTCTGCGGGGGCAGTGAGAGGTCTGTAGTGGAGACCGATGGGGGAGGTCCCCACAGCAGCACCTTCCCTGGGCAGCACCCTGTCCCACCCTTGCATTTGGCCTCCGCCCCCTCTGACTCCCGTCCTCGGATGAACCGTCATGTTCCCACGCTGGGCTGCACTGAGTGCCTTGACCACTCCAGAGTTCCTCCGCCCTGATCCAGGGGAACCCTGCATTCCCTGGGGGTGACAAGAAGCCCACATAAACCCCTAATAAATAAGAACATGGGCTGCAGGAAAACCAGAACGTTTCCTTGAGGCCCCTCTCAGCGGGTGGCAATGAGAAAGTTAATTAAACCTTTTTGAGCCGTAGTTTCCTTGTGTGAAATGAGGAATTGCATATACAGGGCTTTACACCATAAACAAGGGGTGGCAATGAGAATTCTGCCACACTGCTGGTGTGGAAATTGCGGTTTGGTATGAGAGCTCCGAGGATTTTTTTGGTAGAAAACTGGGAACATAAGCTGGCATGTTTCCACTGAGTGTTGCTACCTAAGTTTCCCTAGTTTTATTGTTCTAATTAGCTGGACTGGGGGTAAATATCTTTGCCTGTCCTAGAGGACATTCTCTCGGTTTGTGAGAGTCCCTAATGGGGTCTTACCAAGCCTTTAACCTCTTTAGCAAATTGCCCTGTAATGTGTCTTGTGTGTTTGGAAAACATACCTTTACCAAGCAATGTCCCCTTAATGCAACAAGCTGGATTTTATAACTTCTTCCTTTGTGATGCCATTTTTGCTTATCCTATCCACACCGGCAGCCAGACGACCTACATGGCCATTCTCAGTCCAGCTGGGACCACCTGAACCAGCCTGAGGGCATGCACGGTGAGCCTGGGGCGGCCATGACATGTCCTCCATAAATGAACATGTAGGAACAAAAATAAATGGTTATTTCTCATATGTATATCAACATTTTACTATCTCTGTCCTTCAGTGTTAAATGCTCACCAGAATCACAAAGTAAGACAGGTTCTGAAATAAGAACAGGTTGTTTTTAGAGAAAATTTCTTTCTTAGAGAAATTTTAGGGGAAAAAAACATCATATTCAAGTAAAGGATTAGCAGTGCCTTCACATTACAAGTTAAAAATTGTCATTTCACTAATCATGAACATTTAGAAACACTTACTGGGTCATGAGTAAATGTGGCTTACACATTCTTTTCTAGACCAGTTAATATTGCAAATCTAAAGTATTTCTAGTGTCAGTAGAATCCCAGTTTGTCCTGGGAGTTTTCTTCATGCCATTGGGTAGGATTGATTCCAAGGTCTACACTGAGTCAACTAAGGCTGGAACCAGGTCAAATTTGTTTAGTCTTTAGATGGTCACTGTATTTTTGTGGTTTGAGGGGATTTGATTTTCCCAACATTGTACGCAGTATTGAAAACCTGAGGCTTCTGCATGATGAATTTGTGGTGAGGGAGACAAACCCAGGAGGGCTTCCAAAAGCTCTGCCAATAGCTAGTTGAAGTTTTATACTGGATACCTTGAGAAACTGCCTGAATTACTTAACATATTTAACACTTTGCAACTAAGTGTTTGGTGTAGTTAAATAGGAGGTCTGACTATGGGCATGATGGAACTGAGGCTCAAATGGTGAAATGACGTCTTGACATAATGTAGATCATAAACTCCAAGAAGTTCAAAAGACAAAAGGAAAGATTTTTTTTCTACCTTGCAATAAAGACAACTACATTTTTCTTTAGTAAGAAGCAGGTTTCAGCCTTCCTCAATCAGTACACTCCCAAACATCAGCTGAGCCCTAAGAAAATTGAGGCTCGTAAATGTTGTACCATCTTTCTGCTGAAAAACAAAGCAACAACAAATAAATAGTAAATAGCTGAAGACTAATGGTTTGAACACAGACACTGGGAATTCCCAGAGGAGAGCATGTTATGCATGAGCATGCAAGATTGTGGCCATTAAGGGGCATGTTGCTATAGGGAAAGTTGTAGTAGTTCAAACCATGGATTCTCCGTGGGTCTACAAGTGAGTCTCGTAAGATTCCAGAGCGTTGGACAAGCTGGCAAAACTCAAACAGTTGTTTAAAGTCATTTTTAATTTTTGGCACAGCAGCCCCTTAAAATTTTCTTTTGTGGAAGTCCAGATCTGAAATCTAGGGTACTCTTCAGAAATAATATTTCCTAAATTGAAATATAGATTAAAGTCCAAGCCCATTAATACAGAAGTGCCTGTGAGGGTGGCCATGCAGGGATTGGTCAAGTATTTCTTGGCCACATGCAGCCCCTCATCCTTGGCATCAAATTTTGCCAACCCTTCTCTCCTCATGCACTTTCCTGTGCTCAACCTTTGTCTTTATTAGTTGGTAGCCTGCACTACAAACTTTTCTCCAC